ATTCAGGAAGTCCCATTTTTTATTTTGTCTATAGTTCTGGTTCTGAAATAATGAATATTGGCAAAAGTGACCTGTAATGAGTTTTTTGTACATCTAGAATTTTAGGTTTTCTTCCACCCTGGAGACTGGTAAAATTTTTATCGCTATCAAAATCCAGACACAGTGTAGCCGATGTTCACTAATTCAAAACCGGAACTATACGTCGCCCAAATTCAGCTGAGACTGTCAAAAAATGAAGAAAATTTCATCGAAAGTTAAAAAGGAACTAAAGTTGACTCTCTTTTTAACAACCCCGAATAGTTTCCTAGTTTAAATTTTCCAACGTTTTAAAACAATTCAGAATGCGCAATTTTTTTAAGTTATCTGTAGTTCGGGTTATGAAATGGTGAATATTGACAAAATGATCTACAACGAGTGTAGAATTTTAGTTTTCCTTCCATCATGGAGATTCTGGTGGACTTTTTTTACTATCATAACCCGAAAAATCCGTCAAAAATAATATGGTCGATGTCCAGTAATTCAAAACTGGAACTATATTTCGCCCAAATTTAAATGAGACACTCAAGAAATATTAATACAGAAAATTTAAAAATAACAGAACAACAAGAATGTAAATGCACATTTGTACAAAAATAATAATTAATACATTCAAAAACAGACTCGATCTGTCATTTTTTTCTTATATTTTTAAAACTAATGTATTTATTGTTGGTTATTTTTATTTCTATAATCCTCAGTATGAACAAAAATTCATTAAAATATTGTGGTCATGTTCACTATTTCAAAACCGAAACTACACTCGCCCAAAATAACTGAATTTTAATGTTTTATGTTAGGCAAAAATCTCAATCACTTTTTTTATTACTATTAGTTTTTTTCAAATTTTCCCAGTTTCAGTTTTACAGCTTTTTACAAAAATTCAGAATGCGCCAATTTTTTAAAGTATCGGTAGTTCTGGTTCTGACATAGTGAAAATTTACAAAATGATCTACAATGAGTCTTTTCTACATCTAGAATTTTGGTTTTCCTTCCACCCTGGAGACTCTGGTAATTTTTTTTACTATCATAATCCGTAGTGTACAGAAAAATCCGTCAAAAATAATATGGTCGATGTTCCCGAATTCAAAACCGGAACTATACTTCGCCCAAATTTAAACGTGACGCTCAAGAAATATTTATTCAAAGAAATTAAACTTTATCCTCTTTTTAACATCGCCGAACATTTTCCCAGTTTCAGTTTTACAGCAAAAATGGAAATATTTAAAAATCGTAAAATTGAAAATGAGAAAAACTGAAAAAACGTAAAACCGAAACATCCGAAAATTGAAAATCGAGAAATTGTAAAATCGAAAAATTGAATAATAAATAATCTGAAAAATCCCAAAACTGAAATTTCGAAAAATTGAAAAATGAAAGAAAAACTGAAGACTGGAAAAATTGAAACATCTAAAAACTGATATATTTTACTTTTCCAGTTTTTCAATTTCCCAATTTTTCATTTCAATTTCCGAAGTCAATTTATTGATTTTTTTTTTCAAATTTTTAAATTTTTTCTAATTTTTAATTTCCAACTTTCCGATTTCCCGATTTTTCGATGTCTCGAATTTTTTATTTCTTGATTTTTCGATGATTCAGTTTTTCAATTTCTCGACTTTTCAGCTTTTCAAGTTTTGGAGTTTTCGAGTTTTTAGTTTTTCGACGTTCCAATTTTTCAATTTTTTGTGATGTCAGTTTGGAATTTTTGAATTTCCGGGTGTTTCAGTTTTTTGATTTTTCAATTTTTCAATTTTTCAATTTTTGATGTTTTAAATTCTGGAATTTTCGATTTCTCAATTTTTAAATTTTAGATTTTTCAATTTTTCAAATTTCCGATTTTTCGACTTTTCAGTTCTTCGATGTTTCAGTTTTTTGAATTTTCAATTTTTCGATTTTTAAAATGTTTTATTTTTCAATTTTACAGACAAATTTTTGTGTTTAATTCGATACATTGTATTGAGAAAAAAAGATGAAAAATGAAAATAATCGAAAACCTAACAAATCAAAAAAGTAAAGTCGAAAAATCGAAACCTTAGAAAGATCTAAAAATTGAAAAAACAAAAACCTGAAAAATCGAAAAATTGAAGAATTGAAGAACTGGAAAATCGAAACACTCGAAAGTCAAGAAAGGGGAAAATCAAAACATCGATTAATTGAAAAATCGAAAATTTGAGAATTTAGAAAAGTCAAAAATTGAAAATTCGAAAAATGGAAATATTTAAAAATCGTCAAATTGAAATGGAGAAAAACTGAAAAAACGTAAAACTGAAAGATCCGAAAATTGAAAATCGAGAAATTGAAACATTGAGAAATTCTAAAATGAAAAATTGAATAATAAATAACCTGAAAAATCTCAGACCTGAAAATTCGAAAAATTTAAAAATGAAAAAAAACTGAATAATGGAAAAACTGAAAAATCTCAAAACTGATTTTTCAATTTTCCAATTTTTCATCATTTGAGGTTTGGAATTCTTCAATTTATCGATTTTTTTTCATTTTTAATTTTTTTAATTTTTTCTAAATTTTAATTTTTCATTTTCAACTTTTCGATTTCTCAATTTTTTGATGTTTCGGTTTTCAATTTTTTGATGTTCTGATTTCGGTTTGGATTATTTTAATTTGTCGGTGTTTTAGTTTTTTGATTTTTCAATTTTTTTATTTAAATTTTCGATTCCTTTCTTTTTAAATTTTAGATTTTTCAATTTATTTTTGGATTTTGTTGACAAATTTTTGCGTTTATTTTCGATACATTGTATGATACTTCTTAACACTGAGAAAAAAAGATGAAAATTTTGAAAAATCGAAAATGTGAAAAATCGAGAAATTTAAAAACCGATAAATTTTAAAAATCGAAAAACAAAGATGTCCAGTTAAGAAATCGAAACGTAGAAAAATCGTAAAACCGAAAAATTGAAAAATCGAAAAACGTATAATTTAAAAATCGAAAAATTGAAAAATTTAAAAATCTAAAATTTAAAAACCGAAAAACGAAAAATCAAAACTCCAAAATTTAAAAAATCGAAAAATTGAAAAATCGAATAATTGAAAAATCGATATATTGAAAAACTGGAAAACCGAAAAACCGAAAATCCGGAAAGTAAAAAATCGAAAAACCTTTAAATCGAAAAACCAAAAGATCGAGAAATCGAAAAGTCGACAAGTCGAAAAATTGAGAAACCCAAAATACGCAAAAATCGAAAAGTTCAAAATTGAAAAATTGATAATTGGAGAAATTGAACAATCAAAACATCGAAATTGAAATATTGAGAAATCGAAAAGTCATGAAATCGAAAAATCAAAAAATTGAGAAATCGAAATAGACCAAAATCGAAAAAACGGAAAGTTAAAACGGAAAGAAAAATTGGAAAATCGAGAAATCTAAAAGAGGAAAAAGAAGAAAAAAACGGAAAAATGGAAAACATAAAATCTAAAACCGGGAAGTCGAAAAATCGGAAGAATAAAACCGAAACATTTGAAAAATTCGAAAAATTGAAAAACTAAAATATCCTAGAATTGAAATGAAAAATCAAGAAATCGATAAATCTAAAATTTAGAAACCGAAAAAGTAAAAAAATCGACACATCGAAAAATCCAGAAAACAAAAGTCGAAAAGTCGAAGGATCGAAATACTGAAAAATCCCAAAACTGAAATATTCAAAAGCTGAAAAATGAAAGAAAAACTGAAAAATCTCAAAATTGTTCCCGAATTCAAAACCGAAACTATACTTCGCCCAAATTTAAATAAGACGCTCAAGAAATGTTTATTCAGAGAATTAAAAATAAAATCGAACAAAAATAAATAAAAACAACATAAATAGATTCGATTTTTGATTTTTTTTTATTTTAAAATGAATTATATTGTTATAACCTTCAGTATAGAGAAAAATTCGTTAAAAGCGATATGAGCCATGTCCATTAATTCAAGTTCAGAACTATAACTCGCTCAAAATTCCTAAAATAGTGCTTTTTTATTGTTTTAAATTACGCCAAAAACTCAGTTACCATTTTATTTATTTATCTTTTCATATTTATTAAGCAATTATCTTTTCAAATAACTAAACATTTTTTCGTTTACTGAATTCTTAATTGAGTATACTTACGTTTGAATTTAGATACTCCGTTAAGGAAAATATCAATTTGATACTAAAAATTTTAAACATTTTATGGAACGGAAGTAGAAAGCTTTAATGCTAAAATTACATTAGTATTAAAAAAAAAGAAATAATGCTGATTTTCCAACTTTTTAAAAAATTTCAGAATGCGCCATTTTTTAAATGTGTCTATAGTTCGGCTTCTGGAATAGTGAATGTTGATAAATTAAGTTTTATTATTTTTACATCTATAATTTTAGTTTTCGTTTCACCCTGGAGACGCTGGTAAAATTTTTATTGCAATCATAATCTGAGTGTACAGAAAAGCTGTCAAATATAAAATGGTCGATGTTCACTGATTCATAACCGAAACTATAAAAGATAAAAAAGAACAAAATAAAAGCGGACAAAGAAAAATATTGTGATAAAATTTATAGAAAAATTAATTTAATATAATAACGACTATTTTTCCGGAGAATATTACGTTATCGACAGTTTTTCAACTGTAACAATAATAAAAGGATTTCTGGGTTCAAAAGTGCGAAATGATGTTTTATGTAACTATTATCTAAAAATATATATTAAAAAAAAATCACACAAGAAAATATGTCGGCACAACCGTCAATCAAAAACGCCCAAATTTGTTCTTAAAATAAACGTCATTTAATTTTTTTTCCATAAATAACATACCCTCAATAGAAGAATAAAAACGAATTTTCATTCATTATTTTTTATACTTTTCTAAAACGAAATTTTATTTAAATCGAAACAGAAAACTGTCAGAATCCATACTAGCATTTTGTTTTTAAATTAATTTAATTAAGAAAGATAGTTACGAACATGAAAAATTAATAAAAAAAATCCAAAACTCACCCTTTCCCCACCGTGACTTCCTTCGCACAAACCCCCCCATAAAACACCCTCGTCTCCACCTCCCCATCCGGCAGCACGTTAACCGCCACGAACTCCTTAACCTCGTCCGCCCTCGCCGCGGCCAAGACCGCCACCAACACCGCCGCCGCCAGCAGGCGGCTCGAACACCCGGGGCCCTTCCGCGCGAACTCCCACATTGACCACTAGACACCGTCGCACATATTGCACGAAGTCCGAAGGCGGCGAAGCTGTGAAGAAATCCGAAAGCTGTGCTTTTATTTAAGTGGCGGTTAATTGGCGGCGCGCGCGAACAATTGACACGCGATTGTCGGAGCCGGCGTCTTGATCTTGGCTCGTGTGCGCCTACACTGGCTGCTAGACTTGGACGCACAAGAACTAATAGTACGAGAGCGCGAGGAGGTCCTGGCGTTGTCCTTTTTGCGGGGATTTCGACGGGAGGTGCACGCAGGACTGACGCGGCGATACGGTCGCGATTCTTTAAGTAGCGATAAGAGATAGCAGGAAATGAACTGGTTCAAGTGCCTTATGGCTTATGACTGAGATGAGTGGCGATAAGGGCTGGGGACCTTGGCGGTTTGATGGGGATTTGGTGGAGCTGGAAGTTGTGGTGTGATGGTGGATGAGAGGAGTGAAAAGTTTCCGCGCTATTTTTTTTATTTTTTTCTTTGTCGAGGAGTAATTAATGATAATTTCTTTTGAATGCAATTCGGGGAATATTGTTTTCGCAGTAAAAATAAATGACTCACTTGACGAATTTAGTAAGATTATTTATCTATCTATCTAGAATAAATAATAAATTTATATATAGTTAGAGTGAAATGCGTTTTTCAGAATGTTATTAGTTAATATTAAAACATGTTTTCAAAATCACACCGCATTTTTTATTTTCTTCTCATTTGACAATTAAATTATTAAACATGTAAATTTAAGTAAAAATAGTTTATTTAAAAAAAAACTAAATTGCTTTTTTTATCACGGATGTGGATATGTAACCACGTGCGTGATAAAAATTAACTTCAGGGACGAGGTATTCACCAAATTTTATTTCCTGTCTCTAAGATATCTTCTAAAATATGAAAAAGTGGGTTTCTCATTTCCAAGATTTTGAAAATATTCGGTTTGAAAACTTCTGAAGGTCGAAATACACAATGTTACACTTTGAGTAATTTTCGAAAATGCTCGAAAAAATCAAAAACTTAGTACCTACCGAAAATATGAGTTTTTGAAAAAGTTGCCAAAAACCCACAAAAAATTCTAGGATGGAAGTAGTTTTCGACATTCTGATGGGAAGAATATAGCGAGTTTATGGTCCTGGAGCAAGATTTTGGAAATATTCAGACTTAAATTCAATTTTTGAATTATTCAAAAATTTTCCATAAATCATTTTGATCATTCTGGATAAAATAAAGTCGTAAGAAGCTTCTGGAACTCGAAATTAACGAAACGAATTTTATAAGATGGGAGCATAGAAATATGAAGTTCTTAAAAAAGTTGCCCAAAAATCCACAAAAAACTTTAGGATGTAGATCTCAACATTCTGATAGGAAAAATATAGCGTGCTGATGGTTTTGGAGCAAGATTTTGAAAATATTCAGGCTTAAATTCAATTTTTTTAAATAATCAAAATTTTCCATATTTTATTTCGGTGATTCTGGAAAAAATTAAGTCGTAAGAAACTTCTAAAAGTCGAAATTAACGAAAGAAATCCTTTTGATAATTTACGAAGATGCTCAGGAAAAAGTCAAAGATTTAATGCTGAAAATTTACGATCCAAAATCAAAAATTTTATAGTAAAAAATTGAACTTTTCCCAAAGTTCCCTAAAAATCCACAAATAATGATTCTAGAATGTAAATTTCGAGGTTCTGATCGGAAAAATGTGGCGTGTTTATGGTCCTGTAGCAGAGTTTTGGAAATATTCAGTTTGAAATACACAATTCTAAAAAATTCAAAAACTGCCATACTTCGTTAGTTGATTCTGGAAAAATGTTAAGAATTTTCGAAGAAATGAAGCTGAAGAAATGAAGCCTTCTGGAGGCTGAAACATACAAAAAAATCTCTTAATGTGATTGTCAAAAATGTTCGAAAAAAGTTCAAAAATTTCATAAGATGGGAGCATATAAATATGAAGTTTTTAAAAAAATTGCCCTAAAATCCACAAAAAACTTTAGGATGTAGATCTCAACATTCTGATAGGAAAAATATAGCGTGCTGATGGTTTTGGAACAAGATTTTGAAAATATTCAGGCTTAAATTCAATTTATTAAAATAATCAAAATTTTCCATATTTTATTTCGGTGATTCTGTAAAAAATTAAGTCGTAAGAAACTTCTAGAAGTCGAAATTAACGAAAGAAAGCCTTTTGATAATTTACGAAGGTGCTCAGGAAAAAGTCAAAGATTTAATGCTGAAAATTTACGATCCAAATTCAAAAATTTTATAGTAAAAAATTGAACTTTTCCCAAAGTTCCCTAAAAATCGACAAATAATAATTCTAGGATGTAAATTTCGAGGTTCTGATCGGAAAAATGTGGCGTGTTTATGGTCCTGTAGCAGAGTTTTGGAAATATTCAGTTTGAAATACACAACTTTAAAAAATTCAAAAATTGACATACTTCGTTAGTTGATTCTGGAAAAATGTTAAGAATTTTCGAAGAAATGAAGCTGAAGAAATGAAGACTTCTGGAGGCTGAAACATGCAAAAAAATCTCTTAATGTGATTGTCGAAAAGGTTCGAAAAAAAGTTCAAAAATTTCTAAGATGGGAGCATAGAAATATGAAGTTTTTAAAAAAGTTGCCCAAAAATCCACAAAAAACTTTAGGATGTAGATCTCAACATTCTGATAGGAAAAATATAGCGTGCTGATGGTTTTAGAGCAAGATTTTGAAAATTCAATTTTTTAAAATAATCAAAATTTTCCACATTTTATTTCGGTGATTCTGGAAAAAATTAAGACGTAAGAAACTTCTACAAGTCGAAATTAACGAAAGAAATCCTTCTGGTAATTTACGAAGGTGCTCAGGAAAAAGTAAAAAATTTAATGCTGAAAATTTACGATCTAAATTCAAAAATTTTATAGGAAAAAATTGAACTTTTCCCAAAGTTCCCTAAAAATCCACAAATAATAATTCTAAGATGTAAATTTCGAGGTTCTGATCGGAAAAATGTAGTGTGTTTATGGTCCTTCTGTGGCAGAATTTTGGAAATATTCAGTTTGAAAGACACAATTTTAAAAAATCCTTAAATTGACATATTTCATTAGTTGATTCTGGAAAAATGGTAGAAATTTTCGAAGAAATGAAGCCGAAAATGATTTCTGGAGGTTTAAATCAATAAAAAAATCTCTATGGGCAATTTTCAAAAATGGTCTAAAAAAGCTCAAACATTTCATACGGGGGAAGGATTGAAAAATGAATCTTTTGAAAAAGTTGCCCAAAAATCCGCCAAAAATTCTAGGATGTAGATTTCGACATTCTAATGGGAAAAATATAGTATTTTTATGCTCTTGGATCAAAATTTTGGAAATATTCAATCTTGAATTCAATTTTTTAAAATAATCAAAAATTTTCCATTTTTCGTTTTGGTGATTCTGGAACAAATAAAGTCGTAAGAAACTTCTGGAAGTCGAAATTAACGAAAGAAATACTTTTGGTAATTTATGGCGGTGGTCAGGAAAAGGTCAAATGTTTAAAGATCAAAATTTACAATCTAAACCCAAAAACTTGATTGCAAAAACTGAGCTTTTCCAAAAATTGCCTAAGAAAGCACAAAAAATTTTAGGATGTAAGTAGATCTCGAGCTTCTGATTGGAAAAAATTAACGTGTTTATGGTTCTGAAATAAGATTTTGGAAATATTCGGTTTGAAAAGAACAATTTTAAAAAATCTTAAAAATTGACACAATTCGTTAGTTGATTCTGGACAAATGGTAGGAACTTTCGAAGAAATGACGCCGAAAATAACGTCTGGAGGTTGAAATCTATAAAAAATCTCAATAGGTGATTTTCAAAAATGGTCGAAAAAAGTTCAAAAATTTCATACGGGGGAAGGGTTGAAAAATGAAGCTTTTGAAAAAGTTGCCCAAAAATCTGCCAAAAATTCTAGGATGTAGATCTCGACATTCTAATGGGAAAAATATAGCATGTTTATGCTCTTGGATCAAAATTTTGGAAATATTCAATACTAAATTCAATTTTTTTAAATAATCAAAAATTTTCCATATTTCACTTTGGTGATTGTGGAACAAATAAAGTCGTAAGAAACTTCTGGAAGTCGAAATTAACGAAAGAAATCCTTTTGGTAATTAATGGCGGTGGTCAGGTAAAGATGAAATATGTAAAGATCAAAATTTACAATCTAAACTCAAAAATTTTATAGTAAAAACTGAACTTTTCCAAAAATTGTCTAAGAAAGCACAAACAAATTTTAGGATGTAAGTAGATCTCGTCCTGATTGGAAAAAATTAACGTGTTTATAGTTCTAGAATAAGATTTTCGAAATATTCGGTGTGAAAAAAACAAATTTAAAAAATCCTAAAAATTGACACAATTCGTTAGTTGATTCTGGACAAATGGTAGTAATTTTCGAAGAAATGAAGCCGAAAATGACTTCTGGATGTTTAAATCTATAAAAAAATCTCTATAGGTAATTTTCAAAAATGGTCGAAAAAAGTTCAAAAATTTCATACGAGGTAAGGATTGAAAAATGAAGCTGTTGGAAAAGTTGCCCAAAAATCTGCCAAAAATTCTAGGATGTAGATCTCGACATTCTAATGGGAAAAATATAGCATGTTTATGCTCTTGGATCAAAATTTTGGAAATATTCAATCCTAAATTCAATTTTTTTAAATAATCAAAAATTTTCCATATTTCATTTTGGTGATTGTGGAACAAATAAAGTCGTAAGAAACTTCTGGAAGTCGAAATTAACGAAAGAAATCCTTTTGGTGATTAATGACGGTGGTCAGGTAAAGATGAAATATTTAAAGATCAAAATTTACAATCTAAACTCAAAAATTTTATAGTAAAAACTGAACTTTTCCAAAAATTGTCTAAGAAGCACAAACAAATTTTAGGATGTAAGTAGATCTCGACCTTCTGATTGGAAAAAATTAACGCGTTTATGGTTCTGGAATAAGATTTTGGAAATATTCAGCTTGAAAAGCACAGTTTTAAAAAATCCTAAAAATTGACAATTTCATTAGTTGATTCTGGAAAAATGGTAGGAATTTTCGAAGAAATGAAGCCGAAAATAACTTCTGGAGGTTGAAATCTATAAAAAGCTCTATAGGTACTTTTCAAAAATGGTCGAAAAAACCTCAAAAATTTTATACGGAAGGGTTGAAAAATGAAGGTTTTGAAAAAGTTGCCCAAAAATCCGGCAAAAATTCTGGAATGTAGATCTCGACATTCTGATGGGAAAAATATAGGTAGCATATTTACGCTCTTGGATCAAAATTTTGGAAATATTCAATTTTAAATATCCTGTAAATTGAGCTCGAGCAAAAAAAACAAATAATAAATTAAGAATTGACACT